CCCCCCCGCCCCACCCTGCATGACAAGTTTCACCATCTGAAACACTAATTGCATCTCTGACGTGACCTCATAAATATGACAATCAACAGCTTGCGAAATCATGGATAAACAGTCATGCATGTGGAGTCGTATTTGTTTTAATCTGTCTGGGTATAAGCATGCATGTATATGAAATGGAAAGAAATCATGCCTTATTTTACATTTGCACAGCTACATCGGAATGCTTCCCTTCACACTTCCCACATCGCATTTATCAGGCATTTATCCAGTGGGGGCTAAGGGCCCAACAGAGATGCAAGTATTCTGTTGAGGCTGGGGCATGAACTGAAAACCTTCTGGGCACAGAGCCACACACTGCCCCCATGTGTGTGAATAAGTGAGGTAGGGAAAGGTAATGAAAGGTGGCCAATCGGAGGCCAGGCCAGTGGGCAGGCAAGGCTGCTTTGATACCATGACAAGGGCTTGGGAAAGGGGGCACAGGAAACCATGTTTTCAAGTGTCCTGAGCTATGACCACTGTGAGTTTTTAGTAGTGGGTGCCAGCCAAGCTCAACACTGATCTATCCCATTGCTGTACACAGACAAACAGAAAGACTCTGACCATCTGCTGCCACACATGAGGGGGGCACCTTTGCTTCTGATCTGACATCCACACGCTGTTTTGTGGATCACTCTCAAAATATAACTTTGCTCCTCATATGACTTAAATGTGGTGTCAGACTTGTCTCTGTGTTATTTATTTCTTCTTTGTTTATTGTGGTTTCCACATTTAAATAATCAATTCAACCAGTATAACTTGGCTCATAAGTTCTTTATTGCAATTTCCCTGTCCTGTAAAAAGGTATACCAGGATGAGATTTACTAGGCAAACAGAAGTCATGACCTGTATGTTGCAGAATAAAACCTACACATTAGTGGCCAAAATTGTGGAAATGGTAATGTTCATAAACCATCAAAGCATGTTTACAAGTAACTGCAGCAACAGTTGAATAAAGTTCTGGAGTCTCTAAAAACTGAAAGTGTTTCCACAATTTTGGCCACTTGTGTAGACTTCCATACACCAAAACTCGCGCGCAGTCCAAACTTTTTTAGTTTACAGCATACGCCACGGGATCTCGCATAAGACTCGTCAATTTTCTGCTAAATTACACCTATGCCTATAGGTAACTCCGCTCGAGGGTAATTAAACTCGAATTAAGGGATCTCCTTTTGAAAAAGGACCTGTTGAGGTACGCGCGCGTGGTATCAACCGATAGGCTACATGGTCTTTCGGTGCGTTAGGGGAGCGAGCGCACCGGCGCGGGCTCTCACACGCGCAGCCGGCCCGGTGCGCGCGACGCCGCTCCGCTCCAATGAGGGCATCCCGGTTTGGGAAAGAAGGTGCCCACGTGACAGGGCAGAGCAGCGACACGGCGTCTCCGAGTTAAACGCGCCTCTCGACGGAGCGCGGCTCACACTCGCTGAGGAAAGAAGAGGAGGAAGAAGAAGAATACGAGAAAACAGTAAAAGAAAACAAACAAACAAAAAAAAAGATTTCCGAAGAAACATTAAAGCCGACGCCGCGGAAGATGGAAGGCTACGTGCTGTCTGAAGACGATCTGCTCCACTCCTGCCTTCACAGATTCACCTGGGAGAATCCGTGCGACCAGGTAGGACCGCGACTTCGCCAGGATCCCACCCCCCTAGCACTTGCGGTAACTCAAGCGCACTTACGTTTAGCCGGGCGATTTTTATAGCTCGCGATTAACATGCACGCGACCATTTATATGCGCATAAAACGCACAAACAGAGCCTCAGCATGCATATTTAAACGAAGGCAATTAAACAGGGAAAGGCATCGTGTCTGCCAGCTCCCAAGATACAGTGTGCAGCGTGACGCCGGGCAGGGCCCCCACCCCCTTATTAAGACTCTTCGTAGTGTACAAAGAGCACTAATGTGCTTCCTTATTACCTTACATCTTTCTAAAACGCGCCTCATATGTGGACGCGTGACGGCTCTTCCGATGATGCATAATGAACTTCGCGAATGGTTAATATAGGTCCGGGGAATACACCGCAGACGCCTCCCGACGTGCCAAAATTACCAAAACCAACTCAGCACAAGTTCACACCCGCAGTCCTTAGGAGTTTATCGTCTCTCTGCGTTAAAGCGCATCGGTCCGTCCGGCCACCGCCGCCTTTCCAATGCGCGCCTCGCTGTTAAAATAGCACTTATTTTGAGCAATCTGACACAATAAATATTTGAACAGCGTCTCGCCATCGGAGCCGGCGGGAGGCTCCAGCCCGGGTAGCCGTAATATTCTCAGCGGCCGGTGCATGTCGCAGAAGGTGTTCTGCTCGCCGATGGAGAGGTCCTCCCCGCCGCCCACGGGAAAAAAGTAAAACCCTGCACGGCAGCTCCGGGCCACGCTTCGGTCACGGGTCGCACACTTCCCGCGTGTCTGTGTGCCAGGCTTACAGGACAGCACGATGGAAACGCCGCAGCAAAGAATGCTTTGGTTTCTGGGAAGCTGTAGCTCACCTCCCCACCAGCACATTCCAGTCTAAAGTTACCAAGAGTTACAGGCGACCAGAAGCCTGCATACTTGATGTTAATAATATATAAACACACTACAGAATACAGTCTTGTTCCCGGAATGCTATCAATAAAACAGTGCCACGCTAGGGAGGGGAAACAAGCACAGCTGTGCCAGCCAGCCAGAGCCATAATAGTGCCGTAAATGCACCTGTGTGTGTGTGTGTGTGTGTGTGTGTGTGTTTGGGACACCTTGTAAGCCAAGAAATGGAAGTAAAATTATATAGTCACAAACATCACATTCTTTCCTCTGTGCTGTGTCCCTACTGCTGTGGTTTGTTTTAAATAGCCTGAAATTTTAAGAAAATATGCTATGCCTTAGGTGGGGTTGGAGTGAGGCGTGTGATGCCTATATTCATGAAGGCGTGTCACAATGGTGCAGCGTGTACACATGCACGCCTCCTCGGAGCTAGTCGTGTTTTTCTAAGGCGATGCAAATGCCTTGAAATGATTTATTTTAATCTCCCCTTTTGGTAATTGCTTATAATTAGGCAGGTTCCGGTCTTGGTGAAACTGTTGTGTGAGAGATTACATTGTCCATCCCACTCTAAACCAGGCAGGAGCATAACATCTGTCCTGAAATGCAGCTTAGGCCCCCTCATATTGGTAGTATGAACATAGGGGTGCAGCACAAATGTAGAATGCAGCGGATGTCACTTGTTATTTTTGTGTGTTTCCTACTTGCTACTGGGAAAAAAAATCACTCTAGGAGGTAATATGCAGTGGCTGGCACCTCCAGGGCTGGGTGGGGGGTGGGGGGTGGGGGGGTGTAAATCCTGGCCTTGCTTTGTGTATGCAGCTTGCCTATTCTCTTCATGTTGTGTAGTTTGCCTCCAGGTACACTGGCTTCCTCAGGCAGTTCAAAGGCAGGCAGTGAGGCTAATCAGTGTCTCTAAATTGCCCATGTTGTGAGATTGTGTATTTCAGCATTTGCTAGTGTGTGCCCTGTGATGGACAGGCATTCTGTTTGCGGTGTTCCCCAGCCTTCTGCCCTGTGTCACCTCGGATACACTCTAGGCTCATTCCTCAAACCTTTGTTGGGCAGTCAGTTGTTAGATGGATGTATGGAAGTGAATATTATGAATTAATGCACTATGTTTAACCAAATGAGTACATTTGGATTTGATGATTACACTCCGGTTCTGCATTTCTTTACTTGAAACTAATGGGAACCATTACTCCCTGAAAGAAAGCACAGTGAAATGCAAACACAATTTTATTGTCGATAACCTGGACAGTAAGATGTTGTAAAAGGCAGCAGCTGAATAAATCTATAAAGGAAGTTGGGTTTGAGTAAACAGAGCATAACTGTTTAATTATTTAATCACAGAAACACTCATTTGCCCATCAACGCGCATTATTGTGTGGGGTCGTGCTGTGCCGTGGCTGACATAGCAGGGCTCGTCCCGGAAAACTTGTACAGTCCAGCAGAGTCACCCCACCCTTTCACAAGGAGGGCCTGATCCATTTCTTCCTGACTTTGACAGAGGGTAAACAATAAACGAGATGCTGACACGGTCTGTCCTTGTAGCCATATTGCCCGCTTGTGGCCGTGGACCTGACTGAAATCCTACATAATTTAGCTTCCTTAGAGTGAGGCTGATTCTCTGTGGGTCCTACAAGGAGGGGGGGGAGTAGCTGGCCTTCTCCACCCCTGCAGAGGCAGGAAGTCACTGGTAGCCTGGCTTTACTTATTACTAGGTGAAATGCTTCTTCTACACTGTTCTGTTCTGTGTACATTAAAAAAAAAATAATAGATCCGGGGGGGGGGGGAAACACCCTCGGTCTTCCCTTGGCTGCTTGTTGAAGTAGCTGTCCAGGGTGCTGAAAATTTCATTACATGTCAGCATGTCTTTAAACTCCGGCCTGAAGAGCTGTCTAGTGCTCACACTTCAAGGATGATATATTCCGGTTGTCTCAACACTGCTTGTGAGTATTTACCACTCTGCCGATACAGAGTGAAGCCTATCACTCAGATGCCTGAAAAGAGCTCCAGGAACACCTTCCTGCTTTCCGGCACGAGGCTGAAGAATACACCTCATGCATTTATTATTATTATTTTTAAGCTGTCAGCAGTGTAGCGGGAAGCCCTTATTTTGATACGTGTAGATTTCAGCCTTGCTTCTTGCCACCGATTACGATCACGGCGTTCATGACTTCATTAGTGTCATGCTAATGTGAGCTGTCGAAGATGGATGCATGCCAAGTTTTCATGGCGCTTCGCAGCGATGTTATTGGTGGGCAACAGCGTGATACTCTGGGGAAGATTCTAGCTGCCGATTCTAGCTGTGTTTTTTATGGGTAATGTGTGCAATACGTAATAAGCAACAAGCAGTAAATTGCAAGGCATGAAGTAATTTTCTAATTATCTTAATTGCCCAGATAATTCCTCACAGGACAAGACGTACTTTTATGCTAATATCTCCTCAGATCTTACAGTGCATATTGCTCCATAATGCGGAGCGGTTGAGAAAAGGAAGATTTTCAGCGTTTTTCGCCTATATCGGCTGCATCCTGAGAGCCTTTCTGTCCACCATTTTGAAATGCCCCATGACTCTCTGGGGCGTTTTTAGCGGTTTCGCCGACCTAATCTCACTGACCGCTCTTCTCAGGTAAGAGCTTCCAGGAGTCAGGCTGTGTTTTTTGGACAGAATCGTCGTTTCTTCACGCTGTACTGCATGGCCACTGTATAGATGAATAATTACCTAATCATACTCGGCGGGGGCACAGACTTCCTGTTACTGCTGATGTGTGTAAAGTGGGATCATGAATGTGGGTGGAGGGGGGGGGGGCTTTTATATCAAGGTACAGCTGCTCCATGACCTGCAGTACAGCAAGGATGTAAGTGAGTTCATGTCATCTGGGAAGCATCCCTTTTAATTGACCTGCTAGGGACAAATGAAAAGATGTTCAGGGGGAATGTAATGAGAAGACCATTGAATGTTGATATCTGCTTTTGTTGGTTTTCAAAAGGCCCCGTTTTTTACCCAGCATTCTCCGAGGGGAAAATGCACGGCACATGCAGTAATGAGGCATACCTCAGGGGAGTGGGATTTTACCTGTATTCTGCTGTTTTTGCTGCACTCTTCTGGGGCTTTGTGCAGTGATCAATCGATGTGCAAACACTGCTATCTTTTATTTATATATATATATAATTTTTTCTTTTTTAATCTGGCATGATGCTTGGAGCACATTTACCGTACCTATGAATCCGTGGTGTAGGATCTCTACAGATTCCTAAAGAGGGATTAGAATGTGGGCCCACAGTTCTATTCATTCAGGTATCGGTGAAATTCGCCCAGCCATGAATTTAGATGTTGTTTCCCTTGTTTGCAGAATGGAGATACTGTGTAATGGAAAAGCAGCTGGGGGGAAAAAAATGAGTATGAAAATAAGAGGACGCAACAACAGGTCTCTGCTTCAGCGGCCATGACGCTGTCCGAGCTGCAAACCGGAAAATTGTCCTCCGTGCTTAAAGAGGACTGTCTGTTTCACCCCGTCGGATGGGGAGTCCATGCAGCAGCTTGCGCCATTTGTGCAGTCATGCCCATAAGCCCAGCTGCAGAAGTTCCTCGCTCAGCTGAGGTTTGTTTTCATTATCACGTACCTGTGTTTTGGCTAATAAAGTCTTAGCCACGGCCCAAACCGACACAGCGTCACGCTGCTGGCTGCTGCTTCTGGAGGGCCCATTTTTGTATTCTGACTCAAAGATGAAGTACAATGCAAAATAGGCTCCTATCTCTAGCCATTCTGCAATTATTGACTTTTCTGTTTATATTTTGATGTTTGGAGCTGCTTCTGGTATACCTCATTCAGGCAGCGACTCTATACATTTCTCAGCTGTGCTGGGGAACTGAGCACAGCGATCACTGCTTAACACATAAGTGTACCCATTGTCAACACAGCTGTGGGTCAGGAGGGGCATTAGTGGGAGTCATTTATGAGGAGTATTGTGCTGTTGTTTCCTGAACTCTCCCCTGTTGTAAGATTAAATGGGTGTTGGCCTTCAGTTCTGCTGTTTGAGTGCTGTCTGATTTTTATTTATTTATTTATTTTTTACTGGCGTTTTCCACACTGCCTTTTGAGGTAAGCACATCAGTTCCAGACCGGCTTGTGCTTTTCATGTGCCCCCCTTTAGGACACTCCTGGAACTATACCAGACCAAACCCAGTGTGTTTCGAATGAATAAGACTTCTTGCCACCAATAAGTGCAATTATGGCCAAAGGTGGAAAGTCCAGGTCCAGAAAATAAAAAGCCGGACCAAGGTTTTGTTTCAGCCCACCAGTTGAGTACTCTGTCACTGATTCTTTTTATTCAACTATTTGGTTGGAACAATATCTTGGTCTGGATTTGTACTTTCTGGACCTGAACTTTCCGCCTCCGATTATGACTGAAGTGGGTTGTTTGTTGTTCTTCCTTGGAGTGTCTTGTTTTCTTGTTGTTAACCCCAAAAAACCACCAGCTGGGTTAAAAAAAGAATTATAAATGGAAGAGTGCCAGTTAAAATCTCGTGACTGCATGATGTCACTGTTGGGCCCTTAACCTCAGTTGCTCCAGGCACTGGCTGACCCTGTTCTCTCACTTATATGTCACTTTACACAAAAGCATCTGCTAAATAAATATAAGTGAATTGCTCTGGGCAAATGCATTTTCTCAGTAACCATAGTAAGATTTGGAAAAGGTCCGAGACCTTGATGAGGTTGCATTGAGAGTCTATTACAAACAGGAAACTTGATTTTCTACCAGCGTGTCTCTAGGGCTGTCACAATCATGAAATTTTAATTGATGATTAATTGTAATACAAATTATTATGATTAATGATTTAATTTTCTGTCCATTTTATAATGTTATTTTGCAGCCTGGTGAGTTTAATAATACACATGCATCTTATGAAGAAGCAGAGCTACTAATTAGCATTGAACACTGGAACATACAAACAAAAATTAAGTTTTGAGTTTTGTAAACAAAAATTGGTACAAGACAGATATGGCATAAATAACAAATAAGAAGTTAAACACCTTGAGATAAACAGTGGATATTGTCATTACCAAGTCTGTATCTCCCATGTTTGCGCATGCGTTGCGTTTTCTGGCACAACCCGATCCATTCAACCTGCCATTTTGCGGCAGACCATGTTGTCTACATTTACAGAAAACTAAGCTGGGTAACTTATTGGAATTAAGGTAGTCTATATAAATATACATTCAGTGAACGAAGATAAAGCCCATTTAAACTGGGGTACCTTCTATCCGACAAGTTTTCCAGCTCAGCAAGTAATCTGGCTTCATGAATTATGCACGGCTGAGAACTGAAATACGTGGTTTGGTGAATTTTGTGTTTATTTCTGCCATATTTATACTACTCCAAATCAGTAGAATCAGAAACAAAAATGACAAGATAACATATTTCTCTAGTTGTTTGTGCTATTGGCATAATCTACTAACTTTGGTACAGCCTAATAGTGGCAGCTGTTAGGGACGTGTATGGTCACCCCATCATGATTGGAGTACCAAACAAGATCGATACACACACTCAGGCAAAAGTGCAGGTGTTATGCAGAACTTTTGTTAAATAGACAGAGAATACAAAGAAGCCAACATCAGAATGTCTGGCTGAATATCCCTTTCTGGGCTGGTGGAAATCACTTGCAAGCAGTCCGTAAAATGAACCTGATGACGTGAAAAGAAATGCTAATGGGATAAGATTGGGTTGTGAAAATATTGTGAAAGGAAGTGGCACACATCGGGCATTGTCGTAAAGTATGCCGTGAAGTGTAATGTTGCGCATGTGCAAATATGCGAGGTATAAATGGTAGTACTGATCGGTGCAATGAGATGATGTCATTAAACGATTGCCAGTCAGACATTACACAGTACAAAATTACATGGAAATAGTGATAGAAATATGACATTTCTGTTTCATCCAGTATTTTTTTAAACAGATGAATGGAGATGATTCTAAGGATTATGCAAAATAGTGGCAGTCAGCTTAAATAATCGCGATCAGCAGTTATGTAATAATTGTGACAGGCCTACCATATCTCTGCTGAGGTTTCTGTTTGTTCTGCAGCTGGGATTTCCAGTCTGGTCTTGGCTGCTGCTCTGTTTTCAAAGGAGCCCAAAATCTGTCACTCCTGACTAAGACGGGGCATCGTGCTGGATTGATGGTTGCCCCCCAACTATCAGTGCATCCCTGACAGCGAAGGTCACTTTTTGTTATCTTCCATTGGCTTGACGAAAATAATTAGCATTTTGTGAATGCCCTGGGCTGTTTCTCTCCATATTTGTGGGTTTAGCTATCAGGTGTTGCTAAACTCCCTGCAGGCTTTTAAAGGATCAGAGCACAGGCACTGGGAGCAAATTCATGGACTGAAAATGAAAGGACCCTAGGATGGAGCACTGCCACTTAGTTTTAGCCCTGACTTCTACCTCCCCCACCACCTCAAACCCTTTCCCCCACTTCCTTTCACCCCCTTCCCTGAGCTCTATCGCTTCTGTTCTAAACCCCTCTCTTTCCACCCTCCAGCAAATCTGGCATTTCACCTGATCAAAGCCCTGCCCTTCTCGTTCTTCAAATCCTGCCTACTGCTCCCTTCACAAATCCCACATTTTACCCTCCACAAACCATGCCTGCCTCTCTCTCCCTCCATAAACCCCACCTTCCTCAGCTGCCCCCCCCATGTCAGCAGAAAGTATGAGTGAGGTGAGTTAATTGAGGCAAGAGGGCTACCATGGGCGATGGGCAGGGAGACCGGGGGGGGGGGTACTCTCAGGAGAGAGGGCGTCATTTCCTCTTCATGCACCCGCCTCGTAGATGACTAATGGGGGCTGCATTCTGAAGCTGAATATTCAGCAGAAACTGATGTCCTGTACTTGAGCTTGCACTGCTGGTTCCACGTGGCCCCAAGAGATGCAACCTAGGAGCTCAACCAGATCCAAGGTAAAGGTACTGCCCCCAAATGGAAAACACACATGGCTTGCCCACAGAGCTTTTAAAATCCCTTCTGTGGTAATTAACGTGGCAGCGGAACATGGGAAGAAGGAAATGCTGAGTATAGAGACAGATGGTGTTTTTGATTCGTGTGTCACAGAACAGTCGCAAAGACAAAGAGGAACATTAATGTAATCTATTGGAGAATGACACAACATGTAACTATATAATTATGAAAGCCAGAATGACCTGCTGTCAGGTCCTCAATCTTTTCCCTTATGTTTTTTGCAATGTAAGATACTCTTAAAAATGAGCCTGGCTTTCTGGGATCGATTTTGTTGATTGGACCTTGTTCAGTCTTTGGTGGGCTCTCCGGTGCTTTGGGTTTTTTTTCTACTAGATTCCTGAATATTCAGGTAATGTTTTGTATTAAGATACTTCTGAACTGGTGATGATTTAAGTGACATTTTAGAGTCTGGGAGTTTGTGTTTATCGAGATCTCTCTTGCATTAAGAAATGCCTTTCAGCCATATTGTCCTGGTAGGACAATGAAGCAATATATTCCTGGTCTTTCCTGCCTGTTGAGAAATGATATCCCTGAACTGTAATGGTGGATGGTTTTATGGTCATCAAGAGATTGGTTGAGATCACATTTATTTGTTTGACTGCACAGGGCCCCTGCACAATGTAATTGATTTCTAGAATCTGGCCTGGTTGGAAGGAAATAGACAACTGACTGAAAATGCCACCAGATTTGTCCCAGACTGAGGCTCCCATGTCTCTGAAGTAAATCCCACAATATCTTCTTTCTGGGTAATCAACCTGCCTTCATTTCATACATGTCCTACATATTATATTTTTCATCCAGTCTATCACAGGGCGCTCCCGCATTCAGTCTTCATTTCATCTGAACAGAATATCTTTGGACTGTGGAAAAGATCCATGAGGAAACCCAAGCAAAGAGAGGACACGTGCAGACTCCACCCACTCAGAGCCAGGGGAATCGACCCCATACCCTTATTGGTGTGACCTGTCAATGTAACACACATCGTCGTACCTTCATTGGCCCTTTAGACGACTGAATCTGGCAGAACTGTTTTTCTGTGAATTTTAGTAATGATGTGAAATAAATTACCCCGGAGCAATATTTAGTGTACCTGTTCCCAAGGGAGGGATATTAGTCCTTTTAGTAGACTTGTTAGGAATTTAAAATTGGCTTTTAAACCTTCTAGTTTTACAAATATCACAGCTGTTATTGTGCATTACTTCAGAATCCTGTTATTACACGCAATTAAAAGGTATTGCACAAAATAATGTGGGAGTTAGAATTCTTTGCCTCCAAAATATTTTAAGAGCACAGTGTTTTCAAAGGATTATAGCATCTACATACTCACTTATAAATGTTCTTGTTATGCACCTCTTTATTTAAGATACATAATGGAAGTTAAAATTAGATGTCACTCGGCCAACTTTGGCAGTCTGGTTATCATCTTATCTTCCCACATCTTTTCCTGGGGGGTTTCAGTGGAATCATGAGATCAGGTTAGAACAGACCTTTTATTCCCTGGCCATTGACGGGTGGATATCTAGGCTTTCCTGAGCCAGCTAGGCGATATTATCCCACCAGCATGTCTCAGACTTACCCCTGTATTTCCCCAGTGGGACGTACCTGGAACAGCTCCCTTGGGAGCTGACTAGGTTGTATCCTTATGAAATGTCCAGACCAACCTGGCTGATCTGAAGGAGGTGCGGCTTTATTTTAAGGTCACCCTGGATCTCCGAACTTCACATTGTCATGGAGAGCCAGGCAGCCCAAGAGAGAAACTTCATTTCGGGTATGTGTACTCGTGGCATTGTTCTTTTGGGCACCACCCACAACATCACCTACCCACGAAAAAATCCCAAACAAGTAGAGGCAAGAGGCACCATTGCTGGAGGCAAATATCCACTCTAAGTGGCTTTGATTTTGTGCCAAGGATGCAGACATAAGACTGCATTCATGCAGAGTCAAAATAACACACAGTAGCACCAATTTTCCTGTAGCACTTCCTATAGTATGTGCCAGGTGTGATGCAACAAACCCCTGGGAATCTGCCTCACACCAGCAGGGGGCGATCAGCACTACACAGGTAGACAGTAACAACAGGTGAGGAATGTTAACCGGGTTTGAATGGTGGTTGCTGAATGTCACAAGCAGGGGATGGCACCATCTTCCCCAGTGCAGCTTATAGCCAGCGGTGGATAGTTCAGGTCCCGGAAGTAGAAATCCGGACCAAGATGTTGCTTTAACCAACAAGTTGAGCATAAACAGTCAGTCACAGAATACTCAACTGGTTGGTTGAAACAAAATCTTGGTCTGGATTTTTACTTTCTGCACCAGAACTACCGACTTCTGCTTGAAGCCCATCCTGGGAAGGAGGTCAAGGAGAAGGGAAAGGGTAAGTACACTCTATATCAGGGGTCTCCAACTCCGGTCCTGGAGAGCTACCGTCCAGTAGGTTTTCTATCCTACCTGGCTTCAGATGAGCCACACCTGTTCACAGGTAAATACCAGGAACAGGTGTGGCTCATCAGAAGCCAAGCGGGACAGAAAACCTACTGGATAGTAGCTCTCCAGGACCGGAGTTGGAGACCCCTGCTCTGTATGCTTTCACTGGTACTTAGATTAGACAGCCCAGAGCATGATCTCCATAAAGAGACTCCTGCCTCCCAACTGACACCACCAAAGCTGCAGGACCTGAGCTGGCCTCCCTACTTTTGGAAGAAGAGATGCTTCCCATTGAATTGGCGATCACAGCCCATTCGTTGCCACCAGTCTTTGTGTATTTTCTTCTATTCCCTAAATAAATTTCAACCCTCAAGGACTAATAGTCTATGCCCCTGTTTCCTTTCTCTTTACTGCCACATGGGGCTTATGTACTGTAGACTGTCTAGTCTTATTCCCGTGGTCCTTCACACAGATGTACAAAGAAAAAGAGCTGTTCCATGGCCAAGCTGAAATTGGTACTGTTCCTCTAGAATCTTAGGTTTGATCACTCTCCAGTACTCTTGCAGAGGCTTTCCTAGGAAGGCTGTCTGACGTGATCCTCATAACTGGAACGTGCCCTCTGGTCCATCTTTTTAAAATTTGGCCCACCCTTCCTGTTTGCCAGTCCCTACGATATTGAAGAGGTGCAGCAACAATGTCACCCCAAGAACATCCATTACTTTCAGTAACTCTTAATGGATTTCATCTACCCCGCATCATTTCCATTACGGATGCCTCTAACCCCCATAGTAACTTCAGTGATGGACTATGATCTACCAGATGCCTTCTGGTGAGAGGACATATCCAGCAGTTAAGGAGTTCCTCAAAGTGTTATTTCCCCTGCTAAAAAATATCCCCAGCGTTGCTCAGCACTTCCCCACCATGGCTCAACACAGCTTCTTCAGTTTAAAGGGGACCTTTCAGTTGTTTCTGAAGATCTTTGTTCAAGTATTACCCTAAAAACCTCCACCTTCAGCTTGACAGATTCAGTCACCACAGGTGTACACCACCGGGTCCTTTGCTACCGCTGCAATGATCGAGGCCTTGAATATGGTCCATATAGATGCACTGTTCCTCACTTAACTCAGCACAAAGGATAGGTTTTTTTCCCCAGAAGTTTGATCTAAATTTAGCCCTCTAAGAAGCTTCATCTAGAAGTTCCCAGCAAAACCAGACTGCCTGTCTGGGTGATCCTGGGTCCATCTGGCCTTATCTCATGCATCGAATATTTCGCTCCACCAAGTGGAGATTAGTTGATAATTATGTCTCTGACTTCATCTGCGTGTCCAAAACATTTAAGTCCGGTGACATTTGATCATTCAATAAGGCCTAGTGTGTTCCAGCATGATGCAAACTTACATTTGACCTCTTTCACCAATATCATAAAAAAAAATTCTTAAATTTGTTCTTGAGAGGTCCTAAGAAGGTTCTAAGAAAGGTGTAATTCAGGTTCACTATGTGTCCTTAAACCACAGAATTGTTCGCAAATGTGTTCTTATAATGATCAATCCCATTGTCCTCGTAAATTGAAAGCGCATGCTGGTTGATCCTAATCAGCATCGGTAAACACCTCACCAATCCCCATAAAAGGACATGAGAGTGCAGTACCATGTGCACACACAGAAATCATGCGCAGAAATTAAATCTCAAGATGGCAGAGCACCGGATTCCAAACATAAGAAAAACTTCAGTAGTTCTAAAGTGGAGGTACTTCTGCAGGAAGTGAACAGCAAACAAGTTGTCATATTCAGTAGCATCAGCAGTGAATATAAAATAACACAAAAAGATGTATGGGATAGTATTACTCATTTTAATAATAAAAAAAATTGATATTAAATAATTATTAAAATAATGTATGAATCGACTCATTACATTATTTTAAAGTGTTATAAATGATAAAAATATGATTTTAATTTAAATCCTATAATATACAACCATAAAATTGAAGAACATGCAGTAAGCAATTGTTTTGCACAGACTTGTCAGCACTCAAATATGCTTAAGTGTGCTGTTGAGTGTGTAGATTGTGCCCTTATATAAGAACAAATCCCACTGATGAATGTCAAAATCTTTTTGACAACTGCACAAGTCGGTTTTAAATTTAAATAAATTTCTTCTTAAGAACAGTTGGTCAATGAGGCTCATTCTTCTGTTTGAACATTCTGTTTGTTATGGACAATCCTGGGTTTGCACCAAGTCCAATAAAAGTTCACCACTTCAGATTAAGTACAGAAGACAGTGCTCCCCAATCATGGTTGTACAGGTAATTTCGTTGTTCCCCACATGATCATTGAAATCTAAGGTTATGCCCAGAGAGTCTGTTGTCTACACCTGTACTTCACTCACTTTCCCTAAGAGCTCTGGCTTTATTGGTGGGCCCTGGCAGCCCTGTTCCAAGAACAGCGCACTGGTACTACCTGGTATCTTTCACTGGGGGAACTTACTGGGTTGTAGTTGCCCATCTCTATAGACATTTCTGCCAGTGGCTTCAGACAGCATAGATCTGTGGACAATTAAGGCGCAGATATCAGTCCACTGCACTAAAGAGGTTCTAGTAGGGCAGTTTGGAAGCCCACTGTACTTCAGACAGCCTTGTGCTCAAGGGAGGAGAAAATGTTTAGAGTAATTTACTGCATTTCAAAATGAATTAAATGAACAACCTAGAGTGGGTGTTTTCAATGCTGCTTAAATCAGGGACCCCAAAATACAAATAGGCTACAGGTAGGGGCCCTGTACCTGTAATGTGTGATCACATAAATTGCACTTTTCAGTCTTATATGATGATATCAACAATGTGTTTCTGCCCTGTGGATCCCTGTGGGTGTCATGAATCCAGAGATGAGGACATCTGACCTAGAGAGCTGCTGTGCATAACACTTTAAATGTGTGATATCACTGTGGCAGGAGTTTTTACAGTTTCCTATAAAAGGCACAAAAACAAACTGCTTTCTTTCCAAAATTAGAACACGGTGGCATCAGTGCATCTCAGGTGTGGGAAGGAAGTGTGGTATGCATTCAATAGAAAGTCCATTCTGAAGATTATCCCATTTAACAAGGCTGTTTAATGAGTGAAGATGTACCACTGGACACCACCCCCCCAGGGTAATGTGATTAAATGAAAAAAATTCAATCAGCCGGTAGTATTTTGTAGACAATAATTGTTTTGTAAAAAACAAGTGCCGTTTTTAATGAGCGTGTAATACAGGCAAGCTGAATGCAGATAGTGGTGTGTACACAGTACTGTGTTTTCACAGCTCTGCTTTGCCAGCGTTGATTTTAAATTGCAATCGGAAGGGTGTTAATCTGTGTCAGTCTCTATGGGGAAAAAATGGTCTGATAATCAGAATAATGTACTAATGCAGAAGCCATCACACTCACTTTAATGTACAAAATGTGTTAGGTTTAGCCAAGTAATTATGATGCTAATTTCAACGTGCAAGGTGAAGGTAGTTGAATTTTGTAAACTTTATTAGTCAACGTGTGTGCAACGTGGGAGTATTTTGGAATTTTGTATCAGTGATTAATTAAAGGTGGAAGGCAATAAGATGTTGTTCTCTCCCTCTCTGTCTGTGTTATTGACAACAGGGCAAACAGAATCTGCCAGTGAATTTAGAAAGAAGCCTTTTTCGGGGTTGTGTGTATTTGTGTGATCTAATGATGTATACTCCTCAGCCCTCTCTTTCTGAGCTGTCCTTGTCGGTGCCCTCAGGTCTTTTGTCAGTCTGTGGTTTGGGTCATTACCGACTGTCATCCCATGGATCTTCTGAATTGTCTCCAGTTGCTGTGAATCACCTTGTTTTGCTAGAATGCAAAGCCCGACCGTCCAAAATGTATATGGTGGCAGGTCTCGCTATATTTCTGGAGACAGATTTAAAGAAAATGCCCCCAGTTATGACTGCGAACGCCGATTATTTGCATTAAATGAGTCAATATAATTGATTGAAGACTTCAGAAAGATAGATGAGGACATCACTGCAAAACACCTTTTTCATCCATCTTAAAAGGAAAAAAGACTCTTTGCATGTCACAGTTATTTGCATTAAGCCAGTGGGAAGTCTCCAGAAAAAGAGAACAATCAGTGTATGTTTGAGTGTGTGCGTGTACGCATCTGTACGCCAGTCTATGTCTTTGTGTGATCTGTGAATGCATTCAAAAAAACTAAAAATGACAAAAATCTTGTATTTAGTTTGATTACTTATGATTAGGGTTTGGGCTGGGTAGGGGTGAAGGTCTTCATTTGGGGATTAGAGTTTTCCCCATAGAAATGAATGGAGAGTCTCCACAAAGATATAATTACAAAGGTGTGTGTGTGTGAGAGTGAGAGAACACGCATATATGATTTATTGACTGACTGTGAAGTGCTGAGTTTGGTCACCCTGAGTTACTGTTGTGTTACTAAAGCTTTTAAAATGTGAGGTTTTCTCATACTTCTACTTTCTTTTCACCCTGGAGTGGATCACGTGAATCTGGTATCTGCAGGTGTGCATGTATAACTGGGAGGTGTGAAATGCCACCCCGGTTGCCATGGCGATGGCACACGCGGCACGGTGTCCCGTGCAGTAGCTTGGGAATTGACGGCCTGGCAAAGGAAGATCTGATGTTAGCAGATGAGCGCGTTTTCCTCGGTGGGTTCGCCGAGTCGCCTGGGAGACACGCCGGCACCCATTTCCTGTTTCCTTACAGCGAGAAGCGTGGTCTCTGGGGTACCTCCACAGATCCACAAGGACATTCTGGTTTTGTACATCTCATTCTTCTTCGGTGCTCTCAGCCTGTGGGTGAGATATCTCTCGTTATGAAGTAATCTATGTTCTGTTCTTTGGTAAAATAAATTACTGTCATTTTTTCCCCCCTATATATATCGCTGACAGTGATGTGACCTTCAATGACGCGAAGTGGAACAGAAAATGTATGGATGGGCGGAAGATGACTGTACAATATTTAAAGCATATATTGAAGTAAATTCCAATATGTGGTATGTTTTATATGCTATATTAATGTTTTTGAAGTATTCCAAATGAAATCCTACTAGAAATGTTGACTGTCAATATTTAATATCGTAACACATTTCTATTGTATAACTTCTTATCTGTTTATCCCATCAATGTAATGCGCAGATAATTCTTCAGATTAAAATTCTGTGAAACACCTTGATGAATGTTTTAATACTTTATCATTCTGTATCCTCTGCTGATATTACTTTGTTTCAGCCTTTCGACACTATTCCCTTGGAATAACTCGTTGTGCAAACCTTATCCAAATTCTGTTTCAAACGGTCCATATGCGTTCATTATCTCGGAAGAGGTAGCGGTCCAAAAAATGGAGGCTCAGACGACTTGACTAATTATGCGCGATGGCCACAGTGGAGCGTCTCCATCTGCAGCTGTCTTTCATCTGGCGCTCACGTGAATGACGCACTCCACGCCGCGTTTCTGCCATCGGAATAGAGTGTATAAAGGGCTAAAATGAGCGTAGCATTTATCGCTTTTATTACGGAGCCACTGGGTTTGGCACGTGCTGTGGCTTCCTGCTAGGGATTGCAATGTTTTCGTTTAATTACTTGAGGGGGAAATGTGGGACCTCTTCCATTTTTTTGTAGTTATAGAAAGTCCTGGTGATTCCTGGAAAGTGAGACTAATTGTGTACAGTGCACGCTGGCTGTGGTTTCTGTTTTCTCTTAGGCTTCTCGAGGCATGTGCCCAAAGTAATTATTCATTTGCCTTTTATTGTGCGGCCGTCTCTTGGATGGTAATGTGCGTGTAGCCAAGCTAATCGAATATACACCCCTTCTTTGTTTTCATTTTCAGTTGTTTCAAAAATATTATTTTTTTCTGCCAAGTCACATTACTCTCTGTTTGTTCTGTGATTTATAAATATATATTTTTTTCTTTTTGCAGCCAAGAGAGTTTTTTTTTTTTTTTATTGTTGCATAAAAATTGTCTCGCACCTCACAGTTGTGGGTGTTGTGCTAGTGTCATAGGGGGAGGCAGAGGTGTATGAGGATTAGGGCTGTTTTTAAAGAAGCCAAAGAGGAACATGCCGTTGGTGGTTTTCCCCAGCGGTGGCCTGTAGTTATGACTCGTGGAGGAACCCAGGGAGAAGTAATTTTACCTTCAGATGCCGTTAACGTCAGGTTTTAAACCGAATGCCTGGTGCAATCTTGCCGCTCATGTGTCCCAAAATGCTTACGTCCCACGCACTTAGGGCAAAGAATGAGGAATGCGTAGCAGGCAGGGTAAAAACAAAACGGCCAAGGAATGGCTTCATTTGGTATTCGCTGGGGATGCGTTTTTAATTTTTCTAACAGCCTCACACTATAGACTCTCTGCCAGTCACCGCTCGCTGTGAATTTACATATAAAGTGTCTGATAAGCATATTTATGTGTTACTGCAGAGAGTTTCCAAATTCTGATGCAAAACATGAAAAGGGAGTAGGGATGTGAGTGATGTGTTTTGGATACCTATTAAAAACTTTGAACCATATGGTGATTCGGGGTGTCGTGGGGAACGGTGGGGCGCCAGGGTGACGTGGGCGGGGGGCCCTGGAATTGGTTGCGCAGGCAGGCGTCGGAGATTTGTCACCGGCGTTCGGAGAATCAGCGGGCCAGGTGCGGAGCCATCAATCAGGCGGGCTTATGCCGACGACAGCTTTTGTCTCCCCCGTATGCCATTTGTATGGCTGCACGAGCTAATAGATCCTTAACGACGGGCGTGTCCCCCCAGCGATGGCAGACGCGTGCCCGTTTAAGCACCAGACTGGCAAAAAAAAAAAAAATCTCTGCTACGATGCTAGACGTCCCCCATTTGTAATGTTGGCCACCCCCAGTTTGATGTTACCTTTACTGCCAGACTCCTCGAAGCTGCTCTGCGTTAATCAAGGGTCTACGTTTTACGGAGCCAGAGTACCGATTTCTTTTACCCCACAACTAGCTCTTGCTGCGATGGAATGACCCCTGCAAGCTGCCGAGTAAACTGTTTACGGGCATCGGCGTCCATGGTCCCAGTCCATATAAAAATGCGATTGAAGGGAATTGCAAAATTGGCTCAGATCGATAGTCTATAATCCAGGGCCCTTGGACTGTATTTTCTTGCAAAAGCCGGCCTTTAATTTGGGGATTGATGCTGCTTTAATGTGGAATTTCCTTTAGGGGAGCACTGAAACCGAGGTAATGTCATCTGTCAAATAAAAGTGAAATACAGTACCGATGTGTTTCTCCACAACAGGGTAAAACATTATTGCACTTTTACCTCCTCAAAACAAAAGAAAAGGGGTGTAAAAACTACCTTTCACAGAACATTACTTGGAAGGTGTTAGCTTTTTTTTATTGCAGTTGTTTGATTTCTCCTTGATTCAGTTACGCCTTGGCTAAGTCTATCGAGAGGCATCGGCACGATGTCAGACAGCCAGTTTATCGACTGGGTCCCCGCTGGCGCTCAGAGTTACTGTCCGCGGGCGGCGTCCGGTTTGAGGCTCTCCTCATAGCGGTGGGCGCGAGTAGCAAAGTGCCACGAGCCGCTCCGTATCGATCCGCCAGTAGCGCGTTTAACAGAATCTTGCCACGACCGCAGAGGGACACGTGGGATTGGGGAGTCGTATCTGAGATCTTTGTGCTTACTGCGCACTTTAGCCCCGAGGGCTTTGCCATGATGTGTGGCTCCTGGAGGACAATGGGCAGGAGATTAAAGAAATAGGATGTATTTATGAATTATTTATAGTCAAATTATGTTCCATTTTTAACGGTCCTGTTATAAATGGACGGTCACCATTACTTTTTATTTCTGTATATTCCTGTACTTTGGCCCCTTTGAATATATAATTTTTTTTCTCATGAATGAACAATGTAATTATTATAACGAGATTTATGATATCAAGATGTCTCTTATCACTGAGTTAAGGCCCCTGGCCTATTTTAAAGTGAGACTTGTTAGTTATTTGTATGAACACACATTTCTCGTGAATGAAAGCTGAAAGAAAGCATTAATTCTTATTTCTGCAAGGCAGATATGACTTGGAGAATCGAAATTCATGTATGAAGATTTTAATAATATTGTGTGTGGGTGTATATCAGTTGCAATCAATTACGGACTCAGTTACCCAGCTGATCACTGTCATGTTCACAGATAACATGAAGCTCTGCTTTAATTTGATGATTCCTTAGGCTGTCCTCTTACTCTACATGGCCTATGGAGTTTACAGTTATACACTTTATACTGTAACATGTCAATCACTGTCAGATTAAGTACAATATGAACTCATAAAATACCCATTGGGAAGTGGGCTGAGCCAATTGGTGACAAACATCCATCGTTAGATTCAAAACCTCATTCCTTCCAGTGTTGATCTGTTGGTATTTTATTTGACAAAGTGTGTAAGTGCTGTTGACTTGAGCAGCAGTTCTTGGCCTTGCGGGGCTTCCTCCTAAGGGGCTATTGCACAACCTGAAGAAGACCAGCTATTCTGGGCCCAGGTTGTTGTTCCACTACAACTGGATCTGTTGTGAGCTGGAATGTGCCGGAAAGGAGTACCTGACAAACAGTCGATTGCAGCGCTGACGCGATCTCGTCATGGAAAATTAACAGCGGGAAAAACTGACGTGGAACGATGATTTTTGTTGCTGGCCAGTGAAAACGTCTCTGTTTGGCTGTGAAGATGGATGCTGGTCTTATGGGTGGGGGGGGAGGGGAGAGTGGGGCTGGGTTTGAGGGGGTATGGTGAGGCAAGGTGAGGGGAGGGGTGTGTTTGTGTGGAGTAGCCTAGGAGGGGCTGTCCGCTCTTCTCCTGGAATACTTAAATTCTGTTGCAGACTGAAGCATGGGAATCACAGTGTGCTCCTAAGTATTTTTCACATTTTTAAAGCTGCATCTTTCACATTGACCTCCCGTGGTCTATTAGTTCTGTGTGTTTACAGTGGCACAGTAGGACTCTTTTTCTTATTTAAGGCGCAGCAGACTTTAATGGCTTATCCCACCTCTCTTCATTTGCATGAATGTTTGCTGCTCACAGTCTGGAAGCCCTGCTGATTGGCTGACGCTCGGAAATCCGCTGTTTGCAGCAAGCTACAGGTGATACCGATATTACACGTGAATCGCCCCTTAGCGAAAAAACCAGCGAGCAGACCCACACAGAGCTGGTCAGATTCATCTAAACTGCTGCCTTCCGGTCTGGTAACAAAACTCCGAATCCGCAGTACAGACAGAACACTGATACAAAATGCTGGTGTGACGTTTTCTTGATGTTCCCTCGACGAGGCTTCCAACCTGCCTCGCAACATCTTACCTTTCTGGCTCTGTCTGACACGGAATCAGTCCTTTTCCTGGCGCTGGTAGGGGCCGGACGTGACGGCCATTAATATTCATGAGCTGTGAGATCTGTTCCGTCACCTCTGCCAGCGTGAGGTGCCGCTCTGAATTCCCTATTCTTATTGGCTTTATCAGCCAGAGCCAAGGTATTACTACTCATAAAACACCAAAGGCCTTATATCCCCTAAATTAATTTAGCAACTTTTAATGGAGCCCAACATGAACCTGGCTATGACACTCATTTTTTATTTTTTTTTTGTCAGTAACGGGAGAGGGGAGGGGGGGAAACAACAGTGGGGGGTGATTTCGTGTCACTTTTTCCGCCGAAGGGCCTGAGGCAGCTTCCCCCCCGGCTTCTTTTGAAGTTCAGTCTCCCTGCACGCTGGCCTGTTAATGACGGGATTTGGCAGAGAGCCCTCGTCCCAGACTCCGGCAAGGCAGGGCGGCCCGGCGTGCTGTCAGCCCTCAACGCTTCCTTTTGTTCCACCCTGCTTCTGCGACGGTTAAAAACCTCACTCTGCTCAGTAGGCGACGGCTCTAGATGATAGGCGTGTGTCTCAAGTATGGAAATCCTTGTATAAAATCACTCCTCTCCACTTCGGCCTTGCCTTCTATGAATGCTACTGTGCTCAAGTTGAGTGGACCGATCAGGATGTCGATCAGACTCATTTGAAACAAGGCTCACGCTCTCTTTAAGGTGTTTTCAGCTGCTTGATCCATCCCCAAGTTAGGAGTGGGAAGTGTTGTCCTTGCCACGACACCGTGGAACTTGTGCTGTCAAGGCAGTTGGACCCAGTCTTCATTGGGCCGAGGCCTCATCCTGGCTACTGGCTGGAGATGCCTCCCCTCCCCTC